TAAGAGGGTTCCCCTTTCTCCACAACCTCTCCAACATTTGTTGTTTCTTGCCTTGTCTATTTTTGCCATTCTAATAGGTGTAAGGTGGTATCTCAATGTGGTTTTGATTTGAATTTCCCTTATGGCTAATGATGATGAACATTTTTTCATGTGTCTGTTAGCCATTTGTATGTCTTCTTCAGAGAAGTGTCTTTTCATATCTTCTGCCCACTTTTTGGCTTGATTATTTGTTTTTTGGGGGTTGAGTTTGAGAAGTTCTTTATAGATCTTGGATACCAGCCCTTTATCTGTAGTGTCATTTGCAAATATCTTCTCCCATTCTGTGGGTTGTCTCTAGCATTTTCTAGGTTGTAGCTGTTGTGTTTCTTTGTTCCTGGTTTTCCCCACTACGACGTGCTGAAAGCAATGACTGGTACCTAATACAGAGCCGGGGGAAATGCTTAGGTAGTCATTCGTGAGTTTTACAAAACAATTCTGGATCTTCTTTCCTACAGACACAGAACTTCTGGTCGAGCAGAGTTGTCTGACTGGCTCTTGCCAGTAAGTTTGCTGAGGGAATAAGTGGTGGCAGGTCTTCTTGGTGAGAGATGAGGTGAGGTTTTGTCCTCTTTAGGGTCCTGGGGAAGGAATTAGCCACATGAGTAAAGAGAGGGAAGAAATGGGCGCCGTGGGGAGGGTGAGGGGCCGTGTGTATGAGCACCAAGACGGATGGCTGAGTCTGCTGACATTTGTAATGGAGCACCAGACGTGCCTCTGTTGGTCTTTTGAGGTAGATGACTTTCCTTCTTGACCTGGTTCCTGAGAACTGGGTCAGATCCTACTGACCTCAACTCACCTGCCTCCTTTCCTCCTTTCCAGGTTTGCAGTAAGCCTTGGCTACTGGCATGATCCTTACATCCAGCATTTTGTAAGACTGTCTAAGGAGAGGAAGGCCCCCGAAATTAACAGAGGCAAGTGACCCCCTCCCTCCCAGCGTCCCCTCATCAGCCCAGAGACCTGAGCTTTTAGGGATTCATTCTACAAAAGAGAGAGTTCCAGTGTTCATTCTCTCCAGTGGCGTATGAAAGTGCTCATTTTCCAACATCCTCACCAACACAGTGTATTAGGAACCTTTTCATCATGGTTAATCTGATACATGAAGGATGGTATCTTACAGTAATTTTATTTTATATTCCTCTTATGTGGGGGTGAAGTTGAAGATCATTTTTATGTGCTTAAGAGCCATTTATATTATTTTTTACTGTGAACTGTCTGTTCAAGTAAGGAATTACTTTCTTGGCCTTAGTAAAATGATAGTAACACTGTCAGGCTCTGCAAGTCCTTTCTATCAAGTCAGTGAAAGGATTTGAGATGGGAGGGTGTCTCAGTCTCAGTGAGATTGAGAAATTCACCAAATGACCACAGTCCTTGTGCATGCAGGGAATCCTGGCCCATTCCCTTGGAGCTGAGCAAGTCCATTTATCGGCAATGCAGATGGTCTGTGAGGCCATTTTATTTATTTTTGTTATTTTTTGAAAGATATTATTTATTTGAGAGAGAGAGCACAAAGGAGGGGGAGCGGCAGGCAGAGGGAGAAGCAGGCTCCCCATTGAGCAGGTAGCGCAACATGGGGCTGGATCCCAGGACCCTGAGATCATGACCTGAGCTGAAGGCAAACAGTTAATCGCTTTAGCCACCCAGGTGCCCCGTGAGGCCATTTTATAAACAGAGGCTCTTACCCGCACGGATGGAGATGAAGGGAACACGGTAAGAAATACGGCCTTTTTTTCTTTCTTTCTTTTTTTTTTTTTTTTGCTGTGACATTTATCTGTCTCATATAATGACCCCAAAATATTATTTTCATCATGATCTCGTCATTTTGACTTTTTGCAGAGTCCCGAGTAGCTTTCACCTATCCACAAAAAAGCACATTTCCTGAAGGAATATTTAGATCCAACTTGTCTTTCATAAGTAAATTTATGGACCATTTTATTTTTAAGATAGTTAATTCTACCATTAAATAGATTGTACTTACTTTGGTTCTAGCAGCTTTAAATTAAAAAAAAAGGAAGAGAATGTGAACGTCATTATTTCTCCCATGAAGTCCAGAGATAAACCACTGACCCCGAAGAAGAGCAGAAGAGTCCTCATTTGCTCTTCTCCTGGGGTGGGCTCTGCAGGGATGATTTCTGACCTCACTGAGCGATAGCTTGTCCCTGTCTCTCTCTCAGGATATTTTGCTCGAGTCCATGGCGTCAGTCAGCTGATAAAGGCATTTCTACGGAAGACAGAATGTCATTGTCAAATTCTAAATCTTGGGGCTGGGATGGATACCACCTTCTGGAGATTAAAGGTAGATGAAAATGCCCCTTCTTTCCCGAATTGTTTCATTTGTGAAGGTGCCCGCCTGGTTCAAAAATGTTAAAAATATATTCAGAAGGGATGCCGTGACTGCCTGTCTCGCGCCCCTGTCCCCAGCTGCTTGCACCTGCTGCCACCATCAGCCACATACGTGATGTCACCAGGGCCTCGGTGAGGATAGGTGCCTGGCTTCCCATCCTTTGCTGTTGCAACAGGGGTTATGATAAAAAAAAAAGTCCTTGTAGACATGTCCTCAGCACGTGTGGAAGAGCCTGCCAGTGGAATTGTGAGACCCAGAGCCCCTGCATCTGCCATATTGATGATAAGGAAGATTTTATTGTCATCGTGACAGTATCCTCAATACAGTTTGGGGATGTGCAAGGCTGGGTGATGGTGATATGACACAAAGGCCTTTTGTAGCTATTCCCTGATTTGATCCCTCACCTGCTCTGTTAGGGGGCAAGAACAGGTGTAACTATGCTCACTCACAGAAAAAGGAGATGGGTCCAGTTAGTGCAGAACCAGGACCGAAGCGCTGGTCTTGGATTCTGGGCTGGAATTGAAGTGCCCAGTCTGTTCCCGATGACACCCTCACCCATTGCATTTTCTTTCCTGTACATTTGTACAGAATTTTCTGTTTTTTCTCTTAGGTCAGTCATGTGGCAGTGATGGGTTCGGGAGTTTCCCCAGAGTTATTGCAGACATACACCAAGATAAATTAGAGCGTGTGGGCCTAACGCGACCTGCATATGTGTTTTGTCCCTAATGAGCTCTCCTGATAAGAAGGTCTTTGGTCATCAGTGTTCCCGACCTTTCTGTTACTCAGGAGAAAACTCAGCAGCCTCAGCCTGGCCTGAGTATCAGTCATTTGCCTCTGCCTTTTTCATTCAGGTTAGGAGAGCTCACGTTTATGAGGTGCTTGCACTTCCATGACCTCATGAATTAACTTGGGAGCTCTGTGGGGCGGTGGGTTACAAAGATAGGGAAAGGGGGGCGCGAGAGCCTGTGTCTCCCCCAAATTGGACAGCCAGTGGGGCTGGAGCGTGGAACAGACAATGGACTGCAGCTCCTCCAAGTCCAGGTTCCTTCCCTGTTCTCTACACAGGGCCTTGTGCTTGTTCAGGGGGGTCTTTGTGGTCTTCTGTCCGCGTTGCGTCTGTACCTCAGTGGCTATGGTGTGGTGGAAGGAGCTGGAACAGAATGCAGGGGCAGAACGTGTGCAGTGTGAGCAGAAGCCACTGGAGAAAAGCCTCCTCTCGGCCCAGCTCCCTTTTGCCTTGGTCCCGAGGTTTGGTTTCTCCCCCTGTCATGTAGGTCGGTTAATAATGAATAAGTCTGACATTTTTATTTCTGGTCAAGGTACACCGAGACCTAGGTACCCCTTCCAAGAGAAAGGTTATCTGTCAGGAGTGAGGAAGACTAATAGCCTAGGGTCTAAAAGATTTTATGGAGGAATTTTGGTTTGTTTGATAATTATATTGGTCCAAAGGTTTTTTTTGTTTTTGTTTTTGTTTTTTTTTTAATCTAAGATTCTTTAAAAAAAAAATGCTTGTTTGCTCTTTGGAGTCTAGGTCAAATGGGCGAAACTTGCCTGCCCTCACTGTGGGGGATGCTTTGTGATATTTGCTGTTGTATCCTATTTGATCCCCCAAATGCTGGTCCCACCCTCCCCCCACATTGGTTTCCTGACCCTCCCTAATCTGTCTCAGTCTGGGTTTTGGAAAAGTCTGTTAGGTTCTACTTCCCCAGCACCTCTCAGTGCCTCCCCACGTCCATCCCAGTGGCGGCTCCCCCAGTTCAGGCTCCCCATGACTTCTTCCCTGGACCTTCTTCCTGGATGGCTGTGAGATCCTTCTAACTTTTGTCCTCCGTCCGTTCTCCATGCGGAGACCAAAGTCACCTAAAAAATACATTTCTGACCGTATCGTTCCTAATTTAAGGCCCTAAGGCCCTAAGGCCTTTGCTGTTTGGGGCCTAGTGTTCAGTAGGTGAAGATGGTCAGTCAATGTATGAGGGCATATAGAATTAGAAAACTTACTGTGTGTTTTTCCTCAGGATGAAGATCTTCTCCCAAGTAAATATTTTGAGGTCGACTTTCCAATGATAGTCACGAGAAAGCTGCACAGCATCAAGTAAGTGTGGCTTGGACCAGAGGACAGAGCCGGGTAGATTCAGAGGCAGCGGTCAGTAGGGGGCTGGTCTGCATGCTGGAGACCTCATTTTAGGGGGCTCTTCCCTTGGACCCCCTCCCTTCTTTCTTGCTGGCCCCAGGATCCTCATTCCATACCTGTCGAGCAGTCTTCCAAATGCAATACACACCCTCCCTTGAGACTCTTCTGTCCATGAATGTCATTTCTCTGAACCTTGAAAAGAAATGACCTACAGTAGTTTAATCATCGGAATTGTTCTGTGTCTTTTGTCTACTTCGATATCTCCAGGGCATAGAGAGGTGCCAGGCCCAGAGCAGATGCCGAGTATATATTGTTCGAGTAAATGATGACGAGGCTGAATTTAGTCATACGTGAGATTTTCCAGGGGCGACCCTGAGGCCAGGTTTTAAAAAGTTTGCAGAGTTGTAGAGGATGAGTTTGTGAATCTCTGCTGGGACTTTTTGTAGCACCATGTGAAATGCTTCACTTGGATCATCATTCAGTGCTCAGAGCAGACTCGTGAATTCTGGGGGGGACCCAAGGCTCAAAGCAGTGAAGCGAATTTCCGTCAGGGCACCTGTGGACGAAAGGGTGGAGCTGAGATTTAAACCCTGGCCTCAAGCCCAAGGTCAAGGTTTCTTAGTGGTTTTAACCTGTACTCCCTTCCCTGTTTTTAAATGAATGATTTCAATAAAATGCCAGGTCTTACATTTAAAAAAATTTTTAGTGAACCTAAAAGTTTCAGCTTGTCCTTCATAGATGTCTGATTCTCATCATCTGGAAATATTTTTCAAGTATGAGGTTGTTCTACTTTATCCTATGAAAACAAGGTTTTCACCCTTTCCAAATACAAGATTCTGTTACAGTAAATATGCTTTTTACTTGCCGTCTGGCGTCTGAGGCTGGGCATCTGCAGAGGACAACCTAGCTTGTTGGATCCCCGAGTGAAGTAAGAGTAAGTGGGCTCTCACGTAAGCCCAGAGGTGGCTTCTGGGCTGAAAAATGCTTTGGCCTTTGTGTATGGTTGTTTGATAGAGGATTTGGCTCTCTGAGGTCTGATTTTTGCATATTGTGAAGGAGGAGACTCATCACATAAATGTTACTGACTTCAGGTCTGAATAGGAGTCTGTTTTTCAGTTAACTGTGAGAATAAGCACTGTGTTAAAAATTTTGTTGGAGAAGAGGCAGGAAACGAGAGACGGCTTGGAAAACACTGGAACATCGGGAACATTCTTGATGACCTATCTTGATCAAGTTCTGAGTCTTCAGTATTTATGATCAGACTGTGACTGGACATCCGATTCGGAGTGTCCTGCTTAGTGACCTCGCCTGAGCCCCGATCCACTGAAGTGTGAGTGCGTGTGCTGAGGGCCAGATGTCATGAAGCAGAAGGCCCTGTGCACCGAGTGGCCCTTGCTTTGAACAGGAGCAGGATGTAGTTGCCGCTTCTGGAGTGGGTGTTTGCAGTTTTGCTGAAACTGAGCTCCTGGACTCATTTCTCTCCCTTTCCCATCTCCCCACAGAGTCAAGCCTTTCTTATCACAACCCATTATAGAATTACATTCAGAGGACCCACTTCAAAACGGCAAGTACCCTTAACCTACGTGGTGCAGTACGGACTGTAGAACTCTCTTTGCTTTTTTCCCCCTTTTCTTTTGAAATATGGGGGGTGTGTGTGTGTGCGCGTGTCAGAATGTGTGTGTGTGTGTGTGTGTGTGCGCGTGTGTGTGCGTGCGCCCATGACGTCACACAGTGGGTACTTCTGCGGATACATTTACACCGCATCACATTTACTGTGGAGGAATTTAAAGCAGATGTCCATAGGTCCCTGTTCTAAAGTCTTTTACAAAATGTGTTTCAATGATTTGCAAATGGTGCAAAAATAGATTTTTTTCCGGAGAATCTCCGTTTCCAGCTTTCCTTGGGAACATCCAGTCCGGCAGCATCAGACCCTCCCTCCTACATGGCTGCCTCGTGGAGGGGGGCTGTCACCCTGCAGTCCTGCCCCCGCTGCTCCCCTCTGTGTGTACCTGACCTGCTCCACCTATTAGGTCACCTCCTTGGCCCCTGTGCTCGGGTTTTTCCCCCCCTCACGTTTTAATTATGAGTGTTTGCAGCAACACTCTGCTCACTTCTAAGCCTTTCGAACCAAGGGAAACCTCTTCCAGAATGTTCCATCGTTTTCTGTCTGTCTGGCAGAGTAGTTCAAGGGACTTATTAATAAATCAGGTCAGAAGACCTGCCCAGAAGGATGGCCTTCTTGGATGGTGGACACAGATCCCACAGGAAACATCAGACAACTAGACAGGCCTCTGTGCAACCACAGTGCCATAGTCATGCTCCTCGTGAAGAAACTCCTCCAGGAAAGAACATCTCCCCCATCCTTTGTTTCCTCCTACAAATTATAAGTAGAACGTGTGCAGCTTTGCCATGTGCTGGCCTAGCTGATTTCTCCACACTGTAGCTATCACAGTTTTCTGTGTATTTGGTGAGTACTTGTGTCAGAATGATTACCTGTAATGGAAGAGCTAACACTTTGCATCACCTTTGATCCATCAGTACACAAATGTATGAAGCAGAAAGTAAAGACCCTCCACAATCTCTCCCCCCATCAAGATATCCAGTGTTGGGGCGCCTGGGTGGCTCAGTTGGTTAATCGACTGCCTTCAGCTCAGGTCATGATCCTGGAGTCCCGGGATCGAGTCCCGCATCGGGCTCCCTGCTCAGCAGGGAGTCTGCTTCTCCCTCTGACCCTCCCCCCTCTCATGCTCTCTCTCTCTCACTCTCTCTCTCTCAAATAAATAAATAAAATCTTTAAAAAAAAAAAAATAACCAGTGTTCAGAGTGTTTTCTCCTGTGGATGAACAATGCACCTAGAGACGGATCAATATCACACATGAGAAAACACACACATAAATAGAATCCAGTGCTGGCACCTAGAAGGTTCGATAAATTTTTGTTGAAAGAATGTATATACACATTGAATAAGTACAGAGGTTGTAGTTCAATATGTATCTGTTGAATGAGTGAATCTATAGTTCTCAAATAGATCTATGTGTAAATTTAATAAAGTGAGTAATTTACACATCCTGTTTTGTAACTCGCTCTTTCTGCATCGTTAGTGATTCGTGGCTGTCTTCGTGTCATCATATATAGGTCTGCCTCATCATTTCAGATGGCTTTCTAGTTCTCCTTGGCATGGAAATTCCATTTTACTTAATGTATTCGGTACTGACGGTCCTTTACATAGCTGAGTTTTTTATGGTTTTCTATTAAACAGTGTTGTAGAAAGCACAGGTACACATGCATATTTGCAGGAATTGCTGGTTCAAGGGATTGTCCTTTATGAATTCTAATAGCTACTGCCAAACTGTTCTTCGAGACCCTCTTTAGTAAATTGTATTTTCACGAGAGTAGACGAGGATTCTCTTTCCCTACAGCCTCACTGACAGTGGCTGTTACCATTAAAACAAAAATTTCTGCTTATCTTCCAAACCTATTAATTTAAAATTTTAAATTAACTTTGAAACTGCTCCTGAGATGGAGTATCTTCCTTCCTTTTTTGGCCTGCAGGATTTCCTTGTAAATGTCCATCGGGAATGTGTCCATGGTATCGTTTCATTTTCTCCTCAATTGCTAGGAATCCTTTAGAACATAAAGATACATTCTTTGATAAAAGTCCCTCATCATCTTTTTTTGGGCTGATTTTTTTGTTAGTTGTTTGCTTGCTTTTGAACTCTGTGTTTGTGTCTCATGTACACACATTTTCTGGTTCTGTGCTTTTAGTTTTTGATCTTGCGGGCATACCGAGGAAGGAGAACTCGAATAAAACAAGGGAAATACAAATGTGAGTGAAGGCCTGACAAAAGTGATAGGTGATCATCAAAGTGGCACAAATTTCATTGAAACATTACCCTCCTTCATCAAACATATGAGGCTGTGATTGTAAGATTCACTGCTATTTCTTTTTCGTTAGGAAAGACAACTTGCTGGCAAATTAATGGGTGTGTTCTTGACTGTTCGATGCGTCCTGATTTCAGGAATGTTAAAGTGGAAAAAAAGACGCATCTTTGAATTGACACTTTTTTTAAGCTGAACTATGCACGGGGAGGAGAATTCAAAGTATATAAATGGGCACCCAGTGAAAAGTAAGTCAGAAGGAGTAAATCAGTTTCTCTTACTCCCCTGCTTAAATCTTCCCGCTGGTTGGGATCCACACGGTTAAGCATTCCTCTGTCTGCCTCCTGATTTTACTTTTGACTACAGTAACTCTGATCTGGCCGCACTGTCCTGCTGTTGCCTGTCACCTTCGGATCTTCCACTTCCTTCTACCATGGAACTCTTTTCCCCTAATTTTGCCTACCAGGCTCCTTCTGATCACCTCTGTCTCAGCTTAGCTACTGCCTCCTCTAAGAAGCTCTCCATGACCACCAGGTGAAAGACTGAACCCTGTCCCTTCTACTCTTTTTTTTTTTCAATCACCTTTTATTTGCTTCTTAGCACTTAATACTCTGATATTCTCTTAATTCTTCCTTTTTTTAATTTTTTTTTTAAAGATTTTTATTTATTTATTTGAGA